CTTGCTGAAATTGCTGAATGTTGTGTGGACTTAGTTCATAAAGTTGTCTTAGATGGTTCCAGGGGTAGCATTATCATTTCTCAGTTGTATTCAATATAGATACGTATGTTCAGGATGCTGCATTGCACTGGAGTGATCTCATTGAAGCTGCATTGTCACTTATACAGTCTCAGGACTTTTTCTTAGCTGAGAAGATATAAATCTGTTGCAAGGGTATCTTGGTAATTTTTCTCTATGCTCATGTGTATGTCACGCTCCAGTGGTCCCAGAGCAAGTGAATATGCAAGAATATTGCATTTCTTGGTGGCTAAGTCTAGAGCTGAATGGAATTTGCGGCATTGTAGTGTATGTGTGTACTTTAGTGTGTATAGGGACAAATCTGCTGAGGTGGCCTTCTATGATTGGCTCTTGCTCTTGGAAATATCTGCATTGCACTGTGTCAATGATTGGCTTGAGATGACAGGTGTAATCTGTGGGTGTATGAAGGTCCGTGCATTATGAAAATCCATATATATATGCTGTTATAGCCTTTTTAGGGTTTTTAGCCTTGTGAGAGAGAAGTGTTTTTGAGCTGCAGCCTGCATTAACTCGAGAGCCTTGAGTGAATAAGTTTGTCTGAAGCTTTTGATGATGATTCAAGCACTGATTGATTATGACTTGTTGTATGATAAGCTTTTAATCCTCTAGCAAGTGTATTTTGATGAATCTTGCATGTTGAAGTTGGATTTGTGATAGAAATTTGGTCTGTAGCATTTTTCAGTTCTTAACCCTTAGTCATAGAATATGTTTTTGCTGAAACAAGGGTAATGTTGATTCTATATGCTAAACTCATGCTGCACTTCAGCGATTAAAAGTCACGAACATGAGTACTACAGTGAATGAAGACTGAGTATGAAGCTATTGAATTAATCTCGAGAGGAAATTCCCTTTTTACCCCTCAAGACATAAGTGCTGAAAATTGGTGTTATGAAGTGCTAAATTGAAATTCTGAGTTGTCAGTTTCATTTCAATTGAAGAGAGGATATGAGATTGTTGTTTTACATTTGTTATAATGTATTTGGTGAGCTTATAGAGCTTGTTTGGTCCTGGCAGGGTTGCCTAGGACAGGGCGAGTGTTTGTATACACTTTGTTGAGCTAATGTGTGAAGTGAAGTGTGTGAAAACTAGTGTCTACATCTGATATAAGGGTGTGTGCAGAGTGTGAGACAGCTGAGTGTGTAACAGCTTACTTACAACTAGTGGATGTTTGCATTGGCTGAGGCCAAGACCCAAGGTTTTCCCTAATTGAAAGGGTTTCCTTGTAAAACCTGTTGCTTTGCAGTCTATACTTGTTTTATGTTATTTTCCAGCTTCAATTGAAAATGGTTTGACCAATTCACCCCCCCTCTTGGTCCAACAAACGGGATTGGCAGGGTGTGGTTGGTAGTCTGTTTCCCCCCGATGGTAATGGTATAATACCGTTTACAAACCCGTCATGGATTAGGGGCGGGGATTATATTGATATTTTCCCACTGGGTGGGGTAAAGATTTAGACAAACCCATCCTGAACGCGCTCTATTGCCATGCATCCCTACTAATGGGATGAGCCGTAAACTCAAATGTTTTTATTCGACTATCACAAAATGTAAAAGCACCCGAGAATAAAGAAGAAAAAGGCAAAAGTAGTGAAATGAATTGAGGATGGAGACCGAGTTAAGAGTATTCACATATGTCGTTTGTATTCATTAACTTGTCAAAAACAATTACAACAATTAACCTCGACAAACAATTATTTGCATAAATTTGTGAAGATCATTAGCATTTAATCATTTCGTGGATCATTGTAAAATGCTTTTAATCACTATGTGGATCGTCGAGAGGTTGAGTATTCTTTGAGCTCTGGTGGGAGCAAAAATATATAATGGGGTGTGTATTTGCTAAAATGTCCAGGATTTTAAATACAAGTTTCATGAATGCAATCTTAACACTAAGGCCTAATTTGTTTGGAGATAAATGAAAGGAAAAGAAAAAAGAGGTCATGGAGGGGAATGCTATATTGTATTGGTTGTGCTTTGATCTCTCTAACCTCATATTTGCTGAATAAAGCTTACTCAGAGCTGTAACTTATATTCTGCTTGTTATGTGTTGGCTGCTGGTAACTTGTACAAGCATATTATGTTGAGTCAAGGTTGTGAAAACCTAGCGTGAGCCACTCGCTTGGGAGGCTTGTCGAACCAGAGGTCTTCTGGTTCAGCATCATTTGGAATGGTGGCCATCCAAGGTGGTCTACTCATATTGTTTTGTCTTTAATTTATTACTTACGCATTTGTCCTTATTCCAGTTCACTGACAGTTGTAACTATCGGTTTAAGAGTTTAAGGCACTTGTGTTTGTGTTCATCGGTTGGCTATTGCTTTCACACGATCTTATAAGATGGGACTATTGTGACATTTGTGGCGGCAAGGAAAGCTTTAAATTGAACTTTGCTCCGATCAAATCGAAACTCTTGATGCGCTCTCCGACTTTGCCTTCTACGGCAACATCTAAAGAAAAATAAAGGAATTTGGAATGATACAAATTAGGTATGAAGGGTGAGTTTTTATTATGCTTCCAAAACTGAGCGGAAATGGAAAGAAATGAAAGTATAAGGGCTACAAAGTTTAATAAAACTTTTCCAATTCCGATTTTACCGCTATTATTTGTATTTTTATAAAACACAAAACTTATAGAAAATGGTACGTTAGTAAATTTATTAAATAGTATCATTTTCTTTCATTCCCTAAACATGATTACTATCCATTTTTTTTTTTTTCCTTGTTAATCAACCAAAATACACGGTTAACACTATCTCCTCCTTTCATTTATTTTATTTTCTCTCCTAATTAATGTTATTCTTTTATTTTCCATTGTACCAAACATAACCTAAAGTTTTGTTTTGTGTTTTTGATACCAAAGCGATGCAAAACGAAAACAAGTAACGAAAGTATGTTTCACAAGGTTGGAAGCGTTTTGACATTTCATATCTGTTTTGCTCATATTCAAAAGTAAATAACACTCATTTTTACAACAAAATTTTAGTTACAAAACATGCTATGTTTCAGAATAATTCATAAAGAAAACAAAATTAAAAAACTAAAGTGGTTGTCAAACAAGTCGCAGTAATCACATTGTCATCTATAACCTGGAGTGGAAGTCATCCCGACTAAGGGTTGGATGAGTAGGAAATTTTACTCTTTTTTCAATTAAACAAATGACTCTTAACTATATATGTGTTTTTTAAATCTATTTTTTTTCTTAGTTAATTCTAATTTCCCTTACTAATGCTAGAAAGGAAAAAAAGAAGAAGATAATTTCAATTTTACTTCCTCTCTATCCTTTTTTTTTTTTTTTTTCCTCTTATATTTTCCCTTCAATTTCACTTTGCAACCAAAAAGTAGAAAATAAAATAAATAAAGCTCGTTTGATAACCATTTATGTTTACTATTTATTGTTTATATAAATAAATTTTTAGAAAAACCATGTTTGTTAATTTTGTTTTTGTTTATAGATTATATAAATACCCTTAAACGAACACTGTAGCTAATGCACAATTAAATACTTAAATGCTCTCCCCATCTTTATTTTGTTTATATTTTTCTATTCCTTTACCAATTTATAAGAAGGTTAACTCAACTAAAATATTTTTAGGGTACTTCTAAGGGTGCATTTAGTAATGTTTTCGTTTTCTGTTTTTGCAGTCTTAAGAAAGCATAAACATAATTTTATTTTCTTGAGTGAAAATAGAAAACATAAATTATATTTATTAACACTTGTTGTTGCTACAAATTTGCAAACATAAAACAATAATTGTGTTTAGTAATACAACATATTTGTTACAAAATGTACATAATATTCTTTAAATTTTATTTATCAAAAAAAAATTTATTTTATATATATATATTTTTTCATTTCTATTTTATTTTTTTCATGGCAAGAATTTTAGAAGTTAGTAATTAAAGGGGAGGGTAGATGACTTGAACACGAACTTTCGGACACAGGGAGCAACCCAATCACTCGTACACGACACTTGCTTCCATTAATATAAAAAAATCATAAATCTAGAAAATTTAATTTAAAATTATAAATCTTAAAAATACCCAATACATCATAAGTACAAAATTAGATACACCAAGATAAAAACATTCCCACCAATTATATATATAAATACATGTAGATGCGTGATGTATACATTTATTATGTGATATATAATATATTTAGCATATGATAATTTATTATGAATAAAAAATATTAAATAATATATCTTATATGTAATAAAATATATATTATGTTATAATATTGTAAATTAATTATAATTTAATATTTACATATAATATAACATAGATATGATATATAATATATAAAATATTCACCGATCAATAATTTAATAACATTATATTCTATATCAAAAATTATTTTGTCACAAAAAATCATATACATTATTATTTAAAATATTATATATTAAAATATATTTTTATCAAATAAAAAATAATATACAATATTTAATTTATTATATATTAAAAATATATATTTTTATTAACATTTAGTATGCAACTTAGTATATAACACAAATAATATGAATTTTATTTGAAATGAATAATATTTGTGCAATAACAATAGTGAAAACGTTTATTTGCTACAGTGCCGAAAACATAAGAAATATTATTTTGATGTTTTCTCTTTTCTTCACAAAAATTGAAAACGTATTCTGTTATAGAAAAACAAAAACATTTTATTGAACGTGATTTTTGTTTTCGTTTTGCCTTTTTAGATATTGACAACAGAAAATAAGAAACGTTTTTTTGTTACTAAACGCAGCCTAAATAATTTTTATTATTTATTTATTTTGATTATTGTCGACTCCCACCACACCTTTTGGAGTACGCACTCATGTTACCCCTTATATAAATGCAAATTTACCTTAATGTCCCTTCAATAAAAGTAATTAAAAGTTAAAATAATAAGAATAAAAAGAACGAACTACAGACTCCCAATTAACACACTCGAGCTCACACTCAAGCTCGTAGTCGTCGCCCTCTCTACCCTCTTGCGCCAAAAATACAAATCAAACACCATCGGTAAGTCCCCTCTTTCTCTCTCTATACATACACATCTCTATGTCTATCTGCTGTTTTGTGACGACGGATTTAGGGTTTGCTTCCGATGGAGACAGCTGGGGTTTCTGGTTCCATTGTGCAGCGCTTGGTTTGTTGACCTAGGGTTTAATCTACTCTCTTTTGTTTCGGTAGGTGCTGTAATCGAGACGACAGAGAAGACGGTATAAAACGCTCTTTATATAATATGCAGAGAATTACCGGTTTAGGTTCTAGTTGTTGGGTTCTTTCATCCGTAGATTGTAATTTATATTCTGTATAATGCATTTACATGGTTCTAGTTGTTGGGTTAAGGTTCTTTCATCATATTCTGTATAATGCATTTATATATAGAAACTGTCATTTGTCAATTTACGTTCCTTGCCTCTTCCTGAACCCATATCCATGTCTCTATGCATCAATCCGTTCTTTTGTGGGTGTGATGAATTTGTACTTCCATTTGTGATTTTCGAAAATTTCAGTTTTCAATTAAGTCTATTGAAGAGACATTTGGGTGAATTTGCATTTATCTCAATGACTTAAGTTATGCTACTGTTTGCAACTTTTAATAGTACGGGAGTGTATTTTGGTTGAGTTGGTAGTTCAGGGGTACTTTGCCCCAAAGTGATAGTTCAGGAGGGTTTAATGCAATTTAGCCCACATATATATATGAATAAAATGCTCATGTGAACTCAGAGTTTTGCTCAATTTGTACTCATAAATTTTTTGAGCAAACAGTACCATATTGTTTTATACTCCGAGTGTAAAACACAATGATGATTGATGAACATCTTCGAGTTAGGGTTTTAGCCTTTGTAAGCCTGCCTTCTCCCTCCTTATACTTCATTTCTCTACATTATTTCCATACACTGTAAGTTCTGTTTTCTTTTTCTTGTTGAATAATTTTGGCCAATTACTTCAAATATTTACTATCAAATGTTTGCATTCCCTTCATCTGGTTACCTTGAAACTGAAGGAAAATAAAAGGGAATGTAAAATTGAAGTTTTGCATTCTTTTTTCGTATTTTTTAATTCTTCTGTATTATTTCAGCAACCAAACTGTGATTTTTTATGTTGTTGTGGTTTCAACTATGCACTTAGTGAGGTCATGTTTGGTGGCTAATAAGAAAACAAAATTTGAGGGCTTACAAGAAACTAAGAAAGTAACTAGACAATAATTGATTTAGTTGTTGTGTCCATTTTATTTTTATTTTTCTATGGGCTTTTTGCAACCAAACGGACGATCATAGCTTTCAATCTGGGTTATAGGAATTATATTCTTTCTTGAAGCTTATAAGGCACATTTGAGTTCAAATTTGTTTTTTTTTCCTTGTTATTTATTTGGCAGAAAGGAGAGTTATTTATATCATTTGATTTTCGCAGTTTATTGAGGGGGTTCTGTGTGATTGTTGAGTTAGAGAATGGCTTCAACAGGACAACCGCCGTCCTCTTTGAAGAAACGCGATTCATCAGCAACAAGAGAAGGGGATCAGCTGATTATAACCCCTTTAGGGGCTGGCAATGAAGTGGGTCGGTCCTGCGTGTACATGTCTTACAAAGGGAAAACTGTTTTGGTATAATGAATTAAACCCATTTTGCTTTTATTTGAACTACTGAGCTTTTGAGTTCTGTTGCTAACTTGTATGCCTTCTATTCATTTATTTATTTTTATAGTTTGACTGTGGAATTCATCCGGCTTACTCGGGCATGGCTGCTTTGCCTTACTTTGATGACATTGATCCTTCAACCATTGATGTTCTTCTTGTCACCCAGTATGTACTTCTTTTCACTCAGTTTTCACTTGTTATGTATCAATCAGCTAATGGTATGCTTAATTAAAACAAAATTCAGAGTTGCTGTGAAAAATTTAAAAGAAGTTGCTATTTTACATTAGACCTATTTGCATTTGGGTCCTCAGCTTTGCGAATTATACTTAAGTGATCTACGTGATTTGTTAGGTTGAATTTGTGTTGGAACTACATACTTTCTTTAGCTAATTTGTGTTCAGAGTTGGAACAGATTCTTTGAGGTCAGTGGAAATATAGATCACTCAGTCAAGTGACTACTATCACCCTGTAGCCGTTTTGTGTTTTTATTTTTATTTTATATTCCAAAGTAGTGAATACAGAGGCTTCATTGAGCGTTTCTTTGTGGCTCTAGGTGCATCTCCTATTTTCAGTTTTCAGGTGATCTTTTTGTCTTGTTTATGATGCTTCTATTGTCAATTTTGGGTGGTAAGATGTTTTTTTGATGTTTGAACTAAATCAAGATGATTTAATAGCAGTCGTAGTATTATTTGAAATCTTGGTAATAGGGGAATGGATTTCTTCACTATGCTTGCAATTAGCTGAGCTCAAGGTAGTGTCTAGATTCTAGGTACGTTTTAGAGTGTTACCTGTTATGGACAGAGTGAGGGAAAGATAATGTGGGAGAGTTTCTTCTTGGAAGTAAGCTACCTTTGAGGGGTGAAAATCTGACTCTGGTAAAGAGTTGTTTCTTCAATATACTTGCTTGTTTTTCTATTTAGAACTCTAATTCCCCTTGCTACTAAATTTTATAAATGTTAGTGATTTTTTTCCCCATATGTTGTTTTGAATGATGATATTGGCTGTCACCGATTCACCATGCTGTATGAGTCATGAGGTTAGGTTTTGGTGGGGAAGTACTATGATTATATTACGATTTTGGAATCAAGAGATCTGAATGTGGAATACACACACACACACACACACATATTGATAAGTAAATCTTAACATAGATAGGATGTGTTTAAAAATAGCTGTGGCATTTTAAAGATGACTTATTTAGCTTATAGATGTTCTTCGTGCAATAAAGTTTGGAGGCGGTGATCTAAGGATGGAGAGTTACATGTCAAGATGTCATTAGAATTTAGCATAGGAAAAAGGTTGGCTGGTAGTTACCTCATAAAGATGCAAGATGCAGGATGTAAGTTGTGTTGAATTGTAGGTTTTACTTTTTGTGAGTGCGGACATCTTGGTCAACTATTCCTACAACCTGACACTCAGATACAGCCTGGATTTGGAGGGAAAGTAGTTTGAACGTTTCCTCTATCTTTTGTTCATAGGGTTATCAGCTAAGGGTGGTAGATATTTTTTATTAGAACTTCATAGTTTCTAATTTCTTTGTGGCTTTCACCATGTGGAAATAATATGCAACACCTGCCATAAAGTTGGATTCTTTCTAGAAGTCATTTTACATTATAATAAAGGCCCCAAAGAGTTAGACTACTAACTACTTCCTTTATTCTTTGCTCTGCATAATTTGATATACTTTCCTAGCTATGTTAGTGGTCATTCTATGTCTACATGCGGAGGTAAGCTGCGTACATCTGACCCTAGACCCCGCAATGGCTGGAGCCTCGTGCATTGGGTTTGCCCCTTTATCATGCATGCACGAAGAAATGCTCCTGTGCAATGTTATTTTGCTATCATATTATCTTCGTGGGAAGAGATAGAAAGATGCTGAACGAGGGTGAGTATTAATTATATATGGAGTGCAAAGGGTATGAACCATCCCTTGCAGAATGTGAAGTGCTGGTGGGTGTGAACCATCCCTTGCAGAAGTCCTTATAGTTGAGTTGGGACGTTCACTTGGGCAGTTATGGAGATGTGTTATCCCCACTACAGCTTTGTGTCCATCATTAGACACTTCTGTGCGTTTTTTCACACCAACTCTCTTAGATGCATGCATAATGGATTGATGGCTATTTCTGCACATTCTTTAACCACGATATTATGGCAGTCAGTATGTTATTAGGACATTCCCGCTTACACATGTTCAAGGATACTGATGCGCTCAAAGTAAATAACTTTGGTCTCAGTTGATGTTGTTATCGAAGCCATGCATGCTCCACAAAAGCTCAAATTAAAGGATGGTATCCGATCCAATCCCAATACTTAGTCTCTGGAGAATGCTAAGTATGGCACTGTTGCACTTACCATGTTACATGTATCCTTATCCGGTAGTCTCTTTTGAAAGCCCTTTAATCCGTTTTGGGCACGTGGGATAGACTGCAAAAAAGATCACACTTAGGTTTTTGACACCTATGGTTAGTTTTGCATCACACTATTTTAAGAGTCTTAAAAACTTAAGAAACTTTTTTTAACCATTCACTTTCGAATAAATTCATGGTGTAAGGAGGCTGCCGGATTTTTTTCTTCTATTTCAACAGGGATTTTGACTTGAAATTTAATCCTGTGATCTATAAAATCTATCTAAACCAACTAAATACCATGTAAAGGATTCAATAACATAACATGTTTCAAAATATGACTCATGTAACTTACTCTTAGTCATGTGTAGCAAATTTGAAAATTACCAATGCATAATACCATTAACTCGAAACAACTTAACATGAATTCATCTAAAACTTGACACCAAGGATGGCACTATTGTACTTACCTTGTGTCAAATCTTGTAGTCTCATGTAATAGCTTCTTAAGCTGTTTGGGCGCGTGGGATAGCGTGCAAAAAACATCTCACTTAAATTTTGACACCTAGGGTTAGTGTTGAATCACACAAGCTTAAGAGAGTTCTAAAAGCTTCAGAAATTTCTTTAGACCATTCCCTTTCAAATAAATTCATAGACGTAAAGATGCTGCTGGATTTGGGATTTTGACTTCAAATTGGAATTAAAACATGTGATATCTAAAACATATCTGAACCAGCTAATTGCCATGTAAAAAGATTTGATAACATAATATAATCTAAAATATTACCCATGTAACTTCCTATTTTCATGTCCAGCAAATTAAAAATTACCAATATACCATTAACTCCAAACGCCTAATATGACCTCTCTAAAACTTGACCTAATAGGTCACTGTCTGGTCCCTTTTAAATCAAATTAAAGTCCACAATTTTCATCATCATCTGGTTTGTTTTTTCTTGAGCTTCTTGTTGAGTGAATCACTTTGCTTACTAATTTCATACATGGAGCTACAACTTTTCTCACTGTTATAAGAACTTTGACTTGAATTAAAAATTAAAATTTTGAAGTTTGAAAACATATCCAAACCCAAAAAAGACTGTAGGAAGATTATGAATGTAACTTGATCCAAGATATAAACCATGTAGTCTGCTGCATTCCATTTGCCAACACTTCATGAATTGCCAAAAAGGTTAACTCTAAGGAACTTCCTCGTCTTTAAGTTTGCTTTTCCTTGAGCTTCTCATGGACTAAATTGCTCCTGCTTATAGAGTTATCTTATTGGTAGAAAAGGAAAATGAGGGTCTCGCCACACCTGGAACCATATTGGCTAAGATTTTTCCAACTCTTTAGTGCTCTCTTGCTGCTTGAATATCTAGTTGTAACTTGTAAGTAGCTATACATATGCATGAGTGCTGTTTAGATTCCCCAGTTCAGTTGGCGATCTGCTTATTCTTTATAAGACTTTCCTTAGCTTCTTCTTAAAGTTTAGCAGTTCCTATGGAAGTAGGGAGTCTGGTAGTTACTTTACATTTTTGAATGTTCTCCTCAAGTATGAATTTGTGCTGAAGTTTCATACTTTTAGGCAACAACAATGGGAGGTTCTTTCCTAAACATGACATGTCTTTGCAAACTGACTTCATCCGTGAACAGAGCTTTGCGCTTGTGAATTTTTGAACTTTGGATGAACTTGCCTTAGGCTGTTCTAAATCCAAGGCTGCATTTTCATGAAAAGCTTGAGATCGACTTACGTGTGACTTATGAGCCCATTCAAGCTTTCTAGCCTCATTGATTATAAAATGAACCAAGCTAAAGCCTTATTTGAAGCTCACTTGTTAAACTAGCTGAGGCTGCACAAGGCCACGCATGGCTTGATAGACTAGTGAAAGAAGGTTCTACAGCTCATATGTAATTTTGTTTTAGTTCTTGTCTAAATAGTTGTTTCGAAAACTATTTAATTGAGCATGTTTGCACTGTGTTTAATGTAAAAGCATTTTAAGTATTACGGATGAAGGGAAAGCTTACCAATTCTTACACCTTGGAGTACATCATGCTGTCCATTTCTGATTTCTGTTTCTTGATTTAAAAATTTCTGATATCAGACAAACAGAAATTTGACGAATGACTAATGTTTAAGGGCCATAGCATGTGGCCTGGCTGAGCTGCCTTAGCTTGCAAGCTTGTTGAGCTGCTCCCAACCCAAGCTCGAACAGAAGTTTGAAAGCAAGTACGATATTGGGCCACACTTTGATAATGTGAGCTCAAACTGCCTGATACTTGGCTTGCTTGGTCCATTTGCAGCCCTTAATCATATCTTGTACAAGCTTTGGATTGGAAGAGAGAATTATCAACAAACATGTCTGGAGACTGGCAGGCATTCCTTCTACTAGCTGAAAATTCTCCAGCAAACCCATCTTTACTTCTAAAATACATAGAGAGCTTGCCATTTTTTTTTTTTCTGAATAATTTTCTTTTTTATTTTAATAAATTTGTAATAATTTCAAACATAGTTGTTAAGGGCACATCTAGACTCCAAAAAAGCCATAGGATTGTGCCCCTTCATTCAAACAGCCACAAAGCTCTCAACTGCGCTCATTAGTAGATTAGTAGGCACGGGGCTATAAAAAGAGTGTTTATCATTCAATTGTATCTTCTTTTAATGTGACCGCTTATTAGCTCTCTTGGTCATAATCAATTTATCATATATTTAAATCCTAGTTGATATTTGGTTTTTAGAATTTATAAATTTATGGTTGGTTACTTTCATTAAATATGTCCAGTGAATATGATAAGATAGCACGTTTTATTTTATTTTATTTTATTTTTTTGTGATAAGTGATAATATAATGTATGTTTGAAACTTTGCACTTGTAATGGTATTTGATTAGTTCATGCATTTGCATCAATTTAGCTGACCCTTTTAATCTTTGATCTGCCAAAAGACTCCTTTAAGTTTTGTATTTTGAATTGTTTCAAGCTTACATTGATTTAATGAAGGCATATGCAAATTGAAAGGATATATACACTAATTTAGTTTATGCATTTGCATCGATTTAGTTGACCCTCTTAATCTTTGATATGCCAAAAGACTCCTTTAAGTTGTGTATTTTGAATTGTTTCAAGTGTACATTGATTTAATTGAAGGCATATGCAAATTGAAATGATATATACACTAATTTAGCTATAAAGGGCTAGCCTTGTGCATGAGGCTCCCACCATTGCGGGGTCTATGGAGGATCAGATGTACATAGCCTTGCCCTCCGCATGTGGAGAGGCTGTTTTCCGTTTGAAACCTATGATCTCCAAGTCAAGATGGAGCAACCTTATTGTTGCACCAAGGCCCATTTTCACTAAATTAGCTATTAGGTTTAAAAATTCAACCATCTTGATGTTGACTACTTGTATTGCGTATTTAATTTTTTAAAACTTTTTTAGTATACATTGTAATCACGCATTATGTTTTAATGCTTAGGCTTGCACCTATGTTACGCCTTTACCTTAGACTCCAAAGATCTTGGCACTTTAGTGCTCCTGGAGCGTGCCGGCTGCACATTACTTCTTGCTGTTGGGATGTATCAGCCTATGTTAGAAACTTAATGGAACCATGTATATATTAATAGTGGGTAGTCTACTGTAACCTTAATATACTAACCGTAATTATATCCCCTTTATTGGGTATTCCACTGTAATTAATTTCTCATGTGCATGAGTTGTCTCATGTGTTTATGAAATGTATTTGTGGAATCAGTTTTGACCATAATATTTGAAACTACCATTTTTTATTTAATTAATTTTGTCAATTGATCCATTGTACAACAATGCTTTCCGTGTGCAGCTTTCACTTGGATCATGCTGCTTCCCTTCCATATTTCTTGGAGAAGGTTTGTTTGCATTCCTAATTAGATTTTATTCAATTATTTTATTCAGGTCTTTTGCAGATAAGCTGAAATGCTTGGATTTCTTTTCTAGACCACATTCAAGGGGCGAGTTTTTATGACTCATGCTACAAAGGCTATCTACAAGTTACTTTTGTCGGATTATGTAAAAGTGAGCAAAGTTTCAGTTGAAGATATGTTGTATGATGAACAAGATATCCTTCGCTCCATGGATAAAATTGAGGTGTGTTTATTTATTGTTATTGTTATTTTTTATTTTTTAATCTCCATCTTGTCAGAGTTTTTCTCCCAATTAAAATTTGGTTTCCGTTTGGGATTGGATTGCAATTATTCTGAATTTAGACTTAGAAGTGGATCACTTATCAAGAACTTTCCATATGACATTTGTTTTTGTTTTCGCGCACTGATTTTTTTTGATAAGTTTGTTTTCACACACTGATGGTAGAACATCAGTCCGTTGTTTGCATATCTCTTATCACTCAAATCTCTCTTAAGCTTTTCTTCTGTCAGTGTTGCATTGAATCCTTTAAAAAAAAAGTTTCGACATTGTTTCATTGATTTCATGAATATGGATGTGGTGATTGTTTGTTAGCTATCATTGTGGTACATTGCAATATTTGTATGTTAGCCATAGTTGTGTTTCATTGCAATTTTATTACATCTGAACTTTCTGTCTGATATTCTGGAAAATGTTTTTATATAAATAGTGTATGATCTAATTCAGGTTAGAGTAATGCTCCTAAGAGGACCCTCTGATGAGAAGAGCCATGAGGTCTCATTATTTAACCATTGGATTGGAACAGCTTTTTGAGATATGTGAAAAGTCAAATGAATTATTTAATGCATTTTTCAATCCAATGGCTAAATAGGGAGAGCTCATGGCTCTTCTCATGAGAGGGTCCTGCATTACTCTTCAGGTTATATGCCAGCATTTTTTTTTTAATGTTGCTAAATGACCCCTTGCTTATTCATCATTTTTAACAATACAATTGTTGTATACATCTAACTTTTTTTAGTGAAAAAAATGCTGGTTGCAAAGCTATCTTAAAGTAAATAAGAAGTTTGTCATACATTTGGCTTTTCTTGATGTAAGTTCTATGTCAGAGGGTTCTATTGGTATTGCTTGTGTAGAATAACAAATGTTAAATAATGATTGGACTTGTTTCTTCTTCTAGAAAGTGGTAAAGACTTGAAGTTCCTTTCCCTTTGAAGGTTATGCATAGGGACAGAATTATTGTCACTGGTTCTGCCACAGCAAAAGTTCTTGTCGAGCACTGGTGGACATGACACATTGTGTCCGCCACATATCTGGCACCTGTTATACACTTGCAAAAGATTTATTTACTTTGAGATTACGGAAAAGAACTAGTGAAAGATGCCTTGTGTTAGAATTCTATTTAAAAGTTGTCGGTTAATTCGTTCTTTAGTTTAAATGCATTTGAAAACTCGGAAGGGTATGAATTTGATATAGAAAACTTATAAATCCTTGCATCTAGAATCGTCTGAGTGTCTAAATTTTGTGGAGCTGCCACATCCGACCTATCAGTTCCATGTCATTAAACCGGCAGATAAATTATTTTCAAGAAAAATTACACTTCTTTTTGCATGTGATCAGAGTCCTCATGGTTGTTTGTTACACTTCAAGCATCAGATTTTGCAATGCTTGGTTTGAAATAGGAACTGGGTTTGGGACCTAGTTCAGTTTGAGCGGATTTCACTTCCCAACCTGCAATTTGCTGGCTAACTTGAATATATGGAAGTACATCAAAAAGCAATTTAAAATTATGTTCACAGTATCAATATGATTTGAAATATGTTTGGGTTACATGTCGTTCAGTCTCCAGACTCGATATAATTATGATTTTGTAGTTGAGATACTGAACCACAAGTACGTTTAAGTATTATTTTTATCCTCTAGCATACCCTTTAGTTCAACCTTAGTTTGGCCATTGTACCCTATAAAATTTTAAATCCCGGGCAATCATATGTTGAAGCCTATTTATTTTACCATAGCTAGCTCTGATGCATTTATTCTCTCAAGTTTATATTGACAGTGCCCGTATCCTGCTTCTGTTTTTATCAACTACTTTAACCTGAAGCTTTTTTACATGCCTATCCAGACCTGGGGACCTTAAGCATAGCTTCTGCGTAGCGTAACAAGTCTCACACCCATCCTGAAACTCTACCAGCTTCTTCTTTTTAGTTGGCTTCTCTACATCACTTTAACTATTGGGTGAAGGGCTTCTTGGTGTTCTGGATTTTAGGAGTCGTGGACAAACTTGACATAAGTGGAACTATCTTAAGATGTAGAAACTTGTATCAGCTATATGTATGCATTGCACGTTATCATTCTAGTAATTATAATTGTGATTGCATCGCTTCTTAAAGATCTTTTTTCAGATGATAAATTGGAGAAATATATAGCTTGTTACAGAAATTTAAAATAAAATATAATTTGAAAAGCAGAAGATTATGTTCTCTATATAATCTCTCATATGGAAAATTATTGGTTGACATAACACCAAACAGTTGCTGCTGCAATTTTAGGAACATTGACAATTACAGTAATTAGCTTATGCAAATAAATGAAACTTAATTGTGTATCTGTTGAGTCTCATTTAACACCCCATAAATCCCTCTTTGGCAGGTTATTGACTTCCATCAGACATTAGAAGTAAATGGTATCCGCTTCTGGTGTTACACTGCTGGTCATGTCCTTGGTGCTGCCATGTTCATGGTGGACATTGCTAGTGTCCGAGTGCTCTACACTGGAGACTATTCTCGTGAAGAAGACAGGCATCTCCGTGCTGCTGAGCTCCCACAATTCTCCCCTGACATTTGCATTATTGAATCCACCTATGGTGTTCAACTGCATCAACCACGACATGTTCGAGAAAAGCGCTTCACTGATGTCATTCACTCTACCATTTCTCAAGGGGGTCGCGTTCTGATCCCAGCATTTGCCCTTGGCCGTGCCCAAGAACTCCTCCTGATCCTTGATGAGTATTGGTCGAACCATCCTGAGCTCCATAATATTCCTATATATTATGCTTCACCCCTCGCAAAAAGGTGCATGGCTGTTTACCAGACATACATCAATTCCATGAATGAGAGAATCCGCAATCAATTTGCCACCTCGAACCCTTTTGATTTCAAGCACATATCACCATTGAAGAGTATTGAGAATTTCGATGATGTAGGCCCGTCAGTGGTAATGGCAAGTCCGAGTGGCCTTCAGAGTGGGTTGTCTCGCCAACTATTTGATAAATGGTGCACTGATAAGAAAAATGCTTGTGTTATACCTGGATATGTTGTGGAAGGGACGTTGGCCAAAACCATCATTAATGAACCCAAGGAAGTTACTCTCATGAACGGTTTGACTGCTCCTCTCAACATGCAGGTCCATTACATTTCCTTCTCAGCTCATGCGGATTATGCTCAGACGAGTGCTTTCTTAAAAGAGCTTATGCCTCCTAATATTATTCTTGTTCACGGAGAAGCTAATGAGATGGGAAGGCTTAAGCAGAAGCTTATCTCCCTGTTTGCTGACCGCAACACCAAAATTATCTCCCCTAAGAATTGCCAGTCGGTTGAAATGTATTTCAACTCTGAGAAAATGGCGAAAACTATTGGAAAGCTGGCCGAAAGGACCCCAGAAGTTGGTGAAACCGTCAGTGGTTTGCTGGTAAAGAAAGGCTTCACTTATCAGATCATGTCCCCTGATGATCTCCATATCTTCTCGCAGCTATCCACTGCAAATGTCACTCAAAGGATTACCATCCCTTACTCAGGTGCCTTTGCTGTGATAAAGCACAGGCTCAAGCAAATATATGAGAGTGTAGAGTCATCTGTTGATGATGAGTCCGGGGTTCCAACTTTGCGAGTGCACGATCGAGTGACGGTGAAGCAGGAATCGGAGAATCATATTTCTGTGCATTGGGCAGCAGATCCTATTAGTGACATGGTCTCAGACTCGGTTGTGGCTCTGGTTTTAAATGTAAGTCGGGAGATGCCCAAAGTAGTTGTTGAGGAGCCAGAAATAAATGAAGAAGAAAACGTGAAGAAGGCTGAAAAAATCTGCCATGCCCTTCTCGTTTCACTCTTTGGAGATGTGAAGCCTGGAGAGAATGGGAAGCTGGTGATAAGTGTTGATGGGAATGTGGCGCATCTTGATAAACAGAGTGGCGATGTTGAAAGTGAAAATGAAGGCCTTAAGGAACGAGTGAGGTTGGCATTTAAGCGTATCCAAAATGCAGTGAAGCCAATCCCTCTCTCTGCATCTTAGCTTTTCTTTTACTTATTTTCTAGTTGTTCTCAACTTTTGATATCGAGTTAACGCGTGAATTTAACTTGTATGCTATGTAGAAGGAACTGATTACTAGAATTCTCAATGCTTATATAACTTAGTAGCAAAGTGGATCACAAATAGCTGCTTTTTAATTCATATTATTCTTTGATGTGCTGATGTTGATTTTTTTTTTTTTTTTTCTATATAGATTTCCAGCGTTAGTGGGCATGAAAGCCATATTTTCTGCTTCCACTCATGCTTCTCTCTCTTTAAGCAGCAGCAAGAAGCCATTTGAATTTATGCATCCACTAGGAGAGTATTATATTGACTAGGGTGTCCTTTCATCTCTCTCTCTCTCTCTCTCTCTGTGTGGTTATGTATGCACTTTTCCAGGTCAAGGTTAGGGTTTTTTCTACGCATGAAAATTCCAAGAGTTGAGGAAGGAAAATGTGTGGACTGATATTGGATCATTGCCTGCCGTAGGCTACGAAGAGCTTCAGTATTAGCAATTTTTGGCCATGAGATTTTTAGGGAAAGCTGAATTTACCCTCATTTGGTGTTTTGGTTGACTGTCCAAGGCAATATTAGCAATTTTTATGAAGATGATATATATATATATATATATATATATATATATATTTTTTTTTTTTCTCCCTACAATAAAATCTACTTTTATTGGACTACCTCTGTCTTGGTAGCTTTGGGTCTTAAAGGTTCAAATTCTATGTCAAGTTTTCTAATTCTTTTCCTAAATGAAAAAAGAAAAAAGAAGAAGAAAAAAATAATTGCAAATAGAAGAATCTAAGGCTATGGTGCGATAGTGTAGTGGAGTGTGCTGCATGTTTAAGAATTTGTTATTAGGCAGCTCCTTTAAATGAAATTGTTGAAAAAAATTGAAACATTATCCAACTCCTTGAAATGAAACTGTGATCGATGCGATGCTGTAAAATGACCGCTAACAAATGTTAGCACAAGCTGTATTAAGATTTGGTAAATAATGCCCCCAGGGGCGCCAACAGAGTTGGTGGGAGGGAACCTCTAAGTGCTAGACCACCAAATTTAGTGCTTGGGTATGGGTTCGATTCTCCTCCAGCTCTATAAGTTCCTGACTTACCTGTTACTTACATTGTGGGGGCCGGGATGAGTAACCGGAGATTTACCCGATAGTTAGAAGTCCAAAGGACAGATAATTGCAGACGTTCCCACGTCATAAAAAGAAAAAAAAGAAGAAAAGATTTGGTAAATAATTATTACTACTTCTCGATCTAATATATGGATATAAAAATACTAACCTGGGGATAAAACCAACTTTGAAGATGGTTGTCAAATTTGTGCTAAATCAAAAAGTAAAAATCGAGTCACATGGGATGCATAGGGAGAAGTTAAAGGTGCTTGTAGAGTTACATGGGGGTATGGGAAAAAGCATTAGTAGTGGTTGGGTGAGGTGTATAAGTCGTTTCACCATACACAACCAGCCTCCATAAATGCGATTGCACTCACTCTATACGCTCTGCAATAACTCCTCCCTCTCACATCTTCATCCGTCTCTTCCCTTTGGGCTTTCCCTTCTTCCCTCTCTCTCTCTCTCTCTCTCTCTCTCTCTCTCTCACACACACACACACAGAGTCAATACCGCCTTGAATTTTCCGATGACCTGAAAACCAGATCTGAGGCTTCTCTCATTTGAGCGTCCCATAACTCTTCCCTCTCTCTCTCTCTCATAGTCAATACCGCCTTGAATCCTCCTTTTAGACTCCAACAAGTGAAAACCAGATCTGAGCTTTCTGTCATTTGAGCGCCCCATAACTCTTCCCCTCTCTGTCTCTCTCGCCATTTACCAGCAAGCCAAAGAAAGCAGTGAGAGATTTCGTTAAGAAAATGGTCCGGAAAGGTATACCTCCTTCTCCTTCTAAATAGATGTGTTTCATTTGGAGTGAAATGGGTCCGGATTTGGTTTTTATTGCAAAATTGTTTATTTTGATAATGTATAACTTTGTGATTCCAAACCTGGACCTTCCTGTTTGCATCACCTGCAGCATTAACATAACAGTCCTTTGCCATTGTCTAATAAATAGATCCCACATCTACTAATATTCTTCTAAGCACACACCCTCTATCATTCAAAAATATAGTCCACAGAATAAAGGACTAAATATCGATTCTATCTTTTTCAGAAGTACTGACGTGAATATATATATATATATATATATATATATATATATATATATATAACAACAATATATAGTATTAAGCATGTATATGATGCTGCTTCTTAATGGACTTAAACACCTCTTTTTTGCAAGGGCATAGCTTTACACCTTAAAATGCCCAGAAATTTGTACTATCACAGCACACTTCCAGAACTACATATTAAAAAACATTCAATTCACTGTTGAGAATTATATCCTGTAGACAGGTTCAATTCCGAGTTGATTGAAACATTTTCTCATGACAACAGTTGTTGCTTAGCACAACCTGCCTTATTTCTCCAAATAAGGATTCATTGAGAAGGCAACAATACCATATTCATAAATCAAATTTTATCTTCAATTAGAAAAAGTAAACCCAAGTAAATGCTATGCTTTTCCAAAGTTCCTAAAACAAACTTAAAACAAATCCCATATTTTCTTTTCTTACCTCTTTTTGTTAGCCCAATGGATGATCCATTGCATCCAAAATAATTAGTAGATCTTGATCACATCAAATGTTCTCCGCTACTACTTTTCCCAATAAGACAGAACGAATGAAAAAGCCAACTAGCCTACTGGTAAATCTCTACTGAAGTGAGGTTTTCATTTAGAAAAGGATGTTCTTGACAGAAAAGGAATATTAGAAGTCCTTTTAAGATGCAAAAGTTACTTCTCATCTCTCATCCACCTAATCTGTCCGCTGCTTCTAAAAAATGTCTTTCCCACTAGCAAAAGTTTCTCTCCAACCAGTCATCTCTATGCATGTATGTATAAGTCCCTCAATCTTGGTACAACAATTCTGTGTGTATCTTGTAACTTGTTTATGTAGTTGTATATTACTGTTCTTATTTTAGTCTAGCATAAATTATGAAATAAAATATTCACATTTCAACATCAAGTTTCTAATATGTTATGTGCCTCAATTTTAATGATGTAGGTTTAAATTTTGGAAAAGAAACAAAAAGACCAACTGAAATGAGTAGAAACGGGAAAAAAAAAGAAAAAAAAAGGAGGTAAATTCTTTCAACTTATTCTAATTGTTCTAGTAGTGGTGCTATATTGTTCATCAATTAATTTTTTCATCTATTAAAAAGAATGTCTCATTTTATTAGTATATAGCTTTATTTTTACTTTAAATTTGAGTTGATAATCACAACGGTTGTCACTTTTATCAATTGATTTGTTATTTTTCTTACACACCGGTGCATTAAAATTTTTAGTTTGGGCACCTCACATTGCTTGTCCTGGGTACCAACTTGATCTTCTTTTTTGTGTAGTTTGTTTCAATTCTTTCACATGGTCAATTTGATCCTTTTCAATCAGATTTCACAAGGGTGAGAGAGCTTGTGAACAAAATTTGACAGCCCAAAGGTCTCCATTGAATGTGAAAAAAAAAAAAAAATAAATAAATATCCCTCTTGGAACTTTGTTTTGTTCCCTCCCAAAAAAAAAAAAAAAAAAAAAATTTCTTATTTTGGGTTTGATTTGTCTGATATTAAATGAAACTAAATGTTGAAATTATATCTTGTCTTTTAAAAGTTTAGAATCAAAATTTGGAAGAGGATTTGAAGTTATTGTTACATGTCTTTTAGACTTTTCTGGAATCACAATCCAAAACTTTTTCAATAAGCATTCTGGGGCGTTACCCTTTTAAAAGCAAAGATTTTCAACTAATTTTTCGTTTCTTGCTGTGAAGCATTTAAGCATATAGCATATTCACATCATAAATAAAGCAAGTTCATGTCAAACTTGGAAAAAGGAAACCATAAATGGAGAAATTTTCTTACAGTGTCCCCACAATTCACATTCTTTGTAATTTTTGTCAAGATTTCGTAATACGTGTAATGATTTCTTGACCTTTTTTTAGTTCTTACCTTGGACATTTTTATAGTAACAATAATTATTTTATTGTAATGAAATAGAAATTTGTACTTACATTTTGTTGTAAGTGTAATTTTTTTAAATTGAAATGTAACATGAACATAATTAATCAGACCTAAAAAGAAATAAATAAATAAGTTTTTTGAAAACTTTAGTATAGGGCACATTGAAGCCTCCACAATCGATTGAGGCACATGGGGATCGATCGAGATGTACTAATGCTCAATTCTAAGCATATGGGAAAGGAATCTGTTGAAGAATTTAAATATAAAAGTTACACCCACTCGTAGCTTAAACTTTTGGAGTATGGTTTTTTAATAGAATGCAACTTCGTAAAGCAAATGGTGGGGTTAATGACGGGAGAGGAAGCTCAATACCTGGGATTATTGCCAATCTTTGCTTCGGTAGGGGTTATTGATCCCTTGTGTACCCAATCTATCTCAAGCCCTTTATATAAATTTTGTAACAAAATAATATTATTCTTAGTTTAGAAGTCTACCAAATAAAGACAAAATTGTAAATTAAAAAATAATAAGAGAGATAAAAACCAATAGGCTGCCCCCATACTAAATTAAAGGAGTTAAGCCGAGAAACTGTTCTACTACGAACTGAATATAAGGTGTCTACAACAAAAACAAAAACCAAAACCAAAACAAAAGTACTTCCTTAGTAACTCGGAAAGAGAACTTAATAATGCTGTTGTGGAAAAACAATCATATCTGATATTAACAAACCATGCACTTACTGCATTTTTGTTTTGGTCCTTTTGGAAAAGCAAACACATTTTGTTTCCGTAGATCATTCTGAAACAAAATATTGTGTTGTTGCTGTTTAGAAGGCTAACAAACAATGAAAAATTATAACTTAAAAAATAATAAATAAAAAAAAAAAGAAAAAAATTGTTTACCTGTGAATGTGAAAATACCAGGAATATGTGGAGCAATCATTCTAGAGATGGGTTTCCCAAGACTTGAAATCATCTTGGGGGCTGCAAAAATAAAAAGGTAATTTATATTAATTTAAAACAATGTGTCTATAAAGTTTTTTTTTTTTCCTCTTCTTAGGATTGAATAAAGTCTGTCAAGCAATGAAGCCACAGAAACACAAATTAAATTAAGTAGACTAAAGTAACAGGAAACATATATAATTAAAAATAAAAATTTGTGATGTCTGACATACAACTCAATAAACGACCTATCAATAATAATCCGCCCTAAAATATGCATAGAAATCGTAGAAATTAACAAATGGTCCTTCATTGTAAGCCAAATACTAACTAATAACAACAGATCTAATAGAATAATATTTGGAAAACTTGGATGAAACTAAGAATCTTACTGAAATACCCCACACAAAAAGTGCAAAGTACAGAAGATGGAAACCACGAAGGAAACACAATATATATATATATATACACACACACACACACACAAAATGACATATCAATAATAATCTGCCCCAAATATGTATAGAAATTATAGAAATCAACAAACAGTCCTTCATTGTAAGCCAAATACTAACTAAAAACAATAGATCTATAAACAAAATAGAATAATATATGGAAAACTAGGATGAAACTAAGAACTGAAATATCTAACACAAAAACTGCAACGTACTGAAGATGGAAACCACCAAGGAAACACAATATATATATATATAAACAAAATAACGTATCAATAATAATCTGCCCCAAAAATGTATATAAATCATAGAAATCAACAAATGGTCCTTCATTGTAAGCCAAATACTATCTAAAAACAGTAGATCTATAAACAAAATAAAATAATATTTGAAAAATTAGGATGAAACTAAGAACTGAAATACCCAACACAAAAACTGCAACGTACAGAGATGGAAACCACCAAAGAAACACAAAATCTATATATATATACACACACACAAAATGAATCGTAAAACAAAACCAAAAAGACTTGACTAAAAAAAGTATGTTTGATCTAAAAAATGGAACAAACTTATACTATTAAGTATATATATATATAACGAATCTCGATAAATTTATACAAAAGGTGACCAAAAGAAATATCGCTTAAAATATAATAATATATATGTATATATTTGTTCATAAGCAGGAAACTAACTGAGCAACTAGAAACTTAAAAAGAGAGTCATACCTTAGATATTTCTATCTTGGAAGTCAAGAATAAACAAGAAGCTGCCTTGTGGAAATTCGATCAAACAGTGAACACGGAGTCGCTTTCAACAGAGTTCTGATGTAGCAGTGGCTGGACTGATGCATTTATCTTTATCTCTCTTTGGTTTTGTATGAACTGTACTGGCTCCTCACGTGTCAGTGTGTCCCTAAATCACTTGTCTTCTTTCCTATTGTATCCTTAATTATTGTACTTTACCCTTGAATTTAAAACAACAACTTGGTAATTTTAAATGTCCTAATAACAAAACAAAAGTTATGGAGAGAGGGAGCAATAAAAAGCATGTAGGAAAGCACACTATGAGCTAAGCTAACTTGTAACACTTACGATATAAGTAATTGATAGGGTTAAAATATATAACTACTTCATATAATTAATTAAAATAATTATAATTTTTTATTTAATATTAGAAATTTATAAAAAAATATTTAATAAATTAAAATGATAATTTTTAAGTGGAATAAATATATATAAGTAAATATATGGGTGATATCTATACTAAAGATAAAAATTACCTGTTGGTCCGATTAAGAAAATAATAAATAATAATAAAAACAATAAATAAATAATAATAATAATTCAAATTTCAAAACCATACTAGTGTAGCTTTTGGTAAATTTTTCAAAATAATTTATTCTAACTTTTTTAAATAATTGTATTGATGATATTTTGTTTATGATACACTTTTAAAGATTGAGATTGATTTAGTAAATTAAAATAACAATGTTATTATGCAAAATGGTGACATTTTAAGATTTGAATTTTTTTTTTTTCTTTTTTGGAAATGTATTTGGCTTAAAAATAAAAAATAAAATCCTTAAGGGCGAGGTTTGGTTGTATGAAATTAAAAAAATTGATAAAATTGGTAAAATTTTATGTCAAACCCCTAATTATATACCAGCGAACAAAACCTAAATTTCAAATCCATCTCAAACAATTGATGAACTATATGTTATGCTCTCATAAGTCATACCATATGTTTTATTTAGGTAATTGTAGACCACATGATTTTTTAACTGCTTTTGTGAAAGGCACATGAATAAAGCAAAAAAAAATATGTCACGTGTTTATAGGTTTATTGTATCAAATTGAATTTTACACAAAATAATTCAACCAAAGAGAGATAAAGATAGTAGCATTAGTCCAGCTACTGCTACATCAGAACTCTATCAAATTAATTCAACCATAGAGAGATAAAGATATATAATAATAAACAAGAACTCTTATCAAAATAATTCAATCAAAATAATAATATACATATATTATTATATATATGTATATTATTTTCTTAACTGGACCAACAGGTAATTTTTATTTTTAGTGTAGATATAAGGTTTTCAGTAATTAGGGATATAATGGGAAAGAAGAAAAGTGATTTAGGAACACGTTGGTACGTAAGTTCATACAAAATTAAAGAGAGATAAAGATAAATGTATCAGTTCAGCTACTGCTACATCAAAACTTTGTTAAAAGCGACTCCGTGTTCACTGTTTGATCGAATTTTCACAAAGTAGCTTCTTGTTTATTCTTGGCTTCCAAGCTAGAAATATCAAGGTATGACTCTCTTTTTAAGTTTTTAGTTGCTTAGTTAGTTTCCTGCTTCTTATGAACATATATATTATTATATTTTTAGGTAGCCAAAATCGCGAAGGAAAAACTCGCCGGAGAAATTGAAGAAGGATCGCCGGAAAGTGCAGGAAGGCAACGGAGAATAAAAGCAAGGTATGTTAAAGGAAGATAAAAGTTGAGAGGATCGGAGTTTTTAAAGAGAAGAAATGGAGGCGACACAGAATTCAAAAGTTCAAGGCAAAAGTGGCACAACAGATCTCGAAGTCTGGGTCTTTGTGCCAGCCGTTCGATTCCTCGTGTCATCGTTCCGAGCCGTCAGACCAAGATTGTGTCTTTTCAAATAATCTCACCCAAATAAATAAGGAGAGAGATTATTGGGGGCAGATGAAGACACCAAAAATGATCCGGGCTTGGTATGGTTCGTATTGCTAAGAACGGGTCGGGTATGGATAGCCACGATGGAGCAAGTCCACGCTGAATGGGCCCAGATCCAATAAGTCATTGCGGAAGCCCATGTTATGATGAAAGAAGTAGAGTCCAGCCAAAAGAGAATAAGATAGGTCTAGCTCAGTGGCGGTTATAACTATTATAAATAAAGGGAATTGAGGGGGAAAAGTGGTTAAAAAATTATTGGGAGTGTAAAGTCTCTCTCTACAATTAGGGAAATTTTTTTTTGTACTTTCAAAGATGCAATCTTAAAATACACCCACAAGACCCCCGAAAGTTTTGGATCGGTCGGCACATTTTTCAAAAAAAAGTCGATGAATAGTACCAAGTAGACTTGTATTAAAAATTAGCAAAAACCTGGCAGCAAGGATTTTTCGAAAAAATATGGGTTTTTGAGGACCAAGATGATATTTTCTGGAAAAACACAAAGAAGAAACCACCCCCTCCTCGAAAATCGAGTTTTCTACCCGACAGAGCGGATGAAAATGAAAAAAGTACACTATAAAATACCCAAAATGCCCCTGGAAGAGAAAAGGGTAAAAACTAAAAAAAAAATATAACTTTAAGTTTTTGTTTCACCAAGAATGGTATTGTGTGTTAAAGTGAACATGTAAGCATATGTAATATTATAAAGTAGACGTAATACAATGTCCTACGGCCTCATTACAATCCATTTACAAGTTTTGACATACCAAATCTCAAATTCTCACAAATAGGCTAAAATGATAATACTTTTTTTTTTTTTTTTTTTTTTTTTTATCTAAATGAAGGATTGTATTAAATATAAACAAAAAGTACATAGAGACAATGGGGGCATATCCTCAATAAAAACAAAGTAAACACCACACACCTTACAAAGGCAAAATTATAATCAGTCTAAACCCAAACAAAAGCTAGGTAATGTCTTGAAGGTTGACCTCCATGACATCAATAACTTCAAACAAAATACCCTTAGCAATATCTAACGGTTCTGTAGAGGTATCCTTATGTATCCTGTTATTTCTTTCCATCCATATGAAATAAAGAGTAGCAGTAAAAATAATCCTTGCCATCTTGTTTTTCCTTTTACCTTTGAATTTCTGAATAAACATGTCAGCCAGCTCTTAAACTGAAATATATCTTTGCAATTGCCATCCACAACAATCTGATAGACTACTCCACACCCTCCATGTGAACTCACAATTGCACAAAACATGATCCAAAGTTTCCTCATGACCTAAACACAGACTACATCTAGAAGCTAGAGAATACCCTTTACTCTTCATGTAAGACTGAGTTAAAATAGCATGATGCATCACAAGAACAGATTGTGTTAACTAACGAGGTCTCCCTCCACTCGAATAGATCCCACTCCAGCTAACCTCGGGATTTTTGGTTCTGCAAATCTCCCAAACAGCCTGAAAACTGAATGTATTCTTCTAGGTCAATACATCCACTCCACCGTGGATCTTCTGATTATGGAACTCCTGCAGCACCTCCTAAGAAGCATTCATCAATACCTCATCATTCCATTGATTGTTGACAATAAAGTCACTTAAGCAACACATTTTGTTTCTACTGATAGAACTCAGTAATCTGTGATTAAATAGCTCCCTCAAGAACAGACCATCACACCAAGGGTCTAAAAACACCTTGATATTAAGTCCAGACCCAATTCTATATCTGCAATTAAGCCTTATTACATCCCTTACTGCAATTATACTCTTCCATATGGAAGAACAAGTAATCTTTAGAAAAATATTCCAAAAAGAAGCCTACTTTAGATAATGCTTTTCAAACCAAGCCACCTAAATTCTGTCCTTAGACAGTAAAAAATCCCAAGCCAAATAGCATTTTGAAGCTGAATCAATGTCTGCTATTCTTCTTATTCCCAACCCACCTTCTTCTTTAGGAGTTGCTAACTTCTTCAATCTCAGACCATGCATCTTCTTTCTATCTTCTACATGCCCCCAAATAAAATTCCTCATTCGTCTTTCAATTAAGTTTATAACCATAGCAGGTAGCGAATAAACTGAGGTCCAATAGAGCACCATAGGAAGAATTACTGCCCTGCTAGCTCCACTCTTCCAGCCATAGATAAGTGCATGCCATTCCATCTGGTCGTAGAAGCTATAACTTTATCAATCAAGCTAGTACAATCTTGCCTTCTCAGCATCTTATCAGAGATAGGTAAGCCCAGGTAATTAAATGGAAGAGAGCCCACCTTACAACCCAAAGCTCGTATCACTGCAGATCTTCTTCTCACAGACCTGGTAAAATAAAGTTCTGACTTCTCTTTGTTAACAGCAAGTCCAGAGAGTTTTTTAAATTGCACCAAAGTTCTTTTCAAACATAAGACAGTAGCCATATTAGCTCTGATTACCATTAGCAGATCATTTGTAAAAAACTGGTGTGTGATAGATAAACTAGCTTTTATAACCGAATCTGTAGGAATAATTGTACCACTCTTAACCTCAGCATCAATCATACCTGAAAAATATTCAGTGACCAGAGTGAAAAGAAGGGGGGATAATGGACAACCTCGTTGAAGCCCTCTTTCAGGCTGAAAAAAACCATTAGGAGAACCATAAATAATGATTGAAAACCAAACAGAGGATAAGCACACTTGAATCCAAGGAATCCAAGTATTTCCAAAGCCAAAGAGCCTCATTATATCTAACAAAAATGACCATTGAACTGTATCATACGCCTTCCTCAAATCAATTTTCCATGCTAATGTTGGTTTTGCTCTCTTAGCACCAAACCCTCTCAGAAGCTCATAAGCCATAATGATGTTGTCTTGTATCTTTCTTCCTTGAATAAAAGCATTTTGCTCTTTATCCACAATCATCCCTAATACCTTAGCAAGTTTATTTGCCAAGATCTTTGCAATGACTTTATAGAATACATTACACAATGATATTGGCCTATAATCACCCACCTTGAGAGAATCTTTCTTCTTTTGTATCAAAGTAATGAAGGTACTGCTAGTCTCTCTTCCCAATTGTGGATGGGAGAAAAATTGCAAAACTGCTTCAATAAAATCTTCACCAATAGTTCTCCAGAAATGTTGAAAAAATCGTGAAGTGAATCCATCAGGACCTGGAGCTTTATCAAGTCCCGTAGAGAACACAGTATACTTTATTTCTTCTCTAGTGATAGCATCTTCTAACATAGTAACCTCTGTAGCAGACAATTTGTTTCTTATACATCTAGCTTCTGGAACACAAAGGGCAGGTTGATCATTAGAATAAGCTCTTTGAAAATGATCCACAAACTTGCTCTTAATGATACTTGGATCAGTAATGGAAACCCCATCCTCTTGAATAACAGTGATATTGTTTTTTGCTCTGTGTTGCTTGATTTTTTGGAAATAAAATTTAGTACATCTATCTTGCTCCTTCACCCATTTGATCTTAAACTTTTGAGCCAGTAAGATTATTTCATTTGATATAACAGCTTCAAGAGACATCCTACCTTCCTTTTCAATTTGAATAAGCCTCTCATTCATTGAATCATCTCGCAACTGATATTGAATGTCAGCTAGCTTCTTCCTACAAGAAATAGCTTCTTCATAAACAGAGCCAAACTTATCCTTGTTCCATTCTCTAACAGCTTGTTTAGTGAGCTTTAACTTATATATACAAATCATTGGATCCCTACTGGTCTTGGTCTTCCATACCTCAGCAATCAAGTCTTTCACCACAGGTAGTTGATTCCACACACAAAGAAATCTAAATGGCTTTGGCCCATCAGCAATCTATAAAGGAAACATCATCTTTAACCCCCAATGATCTGAGGTTAAATGAGGGGTTAACATTATATGAGAATTTGGGAAAACCTGTCCCCACTCCTCATTCATTAAACCTCCATCCAACTTTGCATAAATCTGCTTATTAGAGTATCTGTTATTACACCAAGTAAACACACCATTAGATGTTGGCACTTCAGATAAACATAAGTTATCTATGGTCTGATTAGAATCCTGGAAAACTCTCAGCGGATGTTGTCTCCCCCCTTTCTTCTCTTCATTAACTCTAATTATATTCTAATCCCCTAATAAAAGCCATGGCCCATCAATAAGCTGAGCACTATCCTCCAGATTTTTCCACAAGGCTTTCCTTTGTTTATCAGTATTCTTAGCATACACAAAAGTCACAAACAATTTGTTATTAGACCCTCTAACCACTACCTGTAATAACATCATCTGATCTCTAGTTTGTAAAACTGAAACATTAAGTCTCAATGGATCCCAACTACACCAAATTCTTCCACCTACATCAGCTGAATAATTATTATCCCAACTCCAATTATTCCTAATTCTATCTTTCAATCTCTGGAACTTACTACTATTGACTCTAGTTTCTACCAAACCACATAACTCAATCGAGGATTCACTCAACCAGGCCTTCACTTCTTTCGGTATAGCCAGCCTATTGAGACCTCGAACATTCCACAATCCAATCATTTAGACAAAGAAATTGGTGGAATCACCCTAACTGCAATCATACCCTTGTGACTTGAACCATACTAGGATCAATCTCTACCTCCTTCTTGTTATTCTTTTTTTCTGCTTCTTTGAGGAAGAAGTACCTCCCTCTGGTGATACTGGAACCCCCACCTCTATCTCCTGCACTAGATTTTGCACTTTATCCGTAGTTTGGAGATCACCTTCAGTAGCACAATCTTGAATTTTTTCCATAGACAGAATGGCTACCTCATTACACTTTTCAATCTCTATAGCACGGTCTGACTTGGGATCCCCTCCCTCTTCCCTCTCTCAGTTAATTCATCAAGAACTTGGAATGCATTCAAAGAGACCACTTGTGACTGTGAATCTTGAGGCACTGCATTTACTTTGCCTTATGATTTTCGTTACACTGTAAAGCCATCCACCTCTTCAGTCATCTCTATTACAGGACTCAACATATCCTTATCCCCCTCTGAGATACCCTTATCACTCATATTCATGGATATTGCCATGTTCTCCTTATCAGGTTTTTTCACCACCCACTTCTCCTTAGGTTTAGAAATTCTAATCTTGTTTAATGGACACAAACTCTCATTATGATCCATCTTCTTGCACAGACCACATATTTGAGGCTTCCATTCATATTCAACTTGTACTCTACAAGGTAGTCCATGCAACGTTGTATTGATTACTTCTGGGAATTTACCATCCACTCCCATCTCTGCCAAAACTCTAACATATAAACCCCTCTCTTGACAAAGAGCAATATCATCCATATATATAGGTTTAGCAATGTTTGACACCACTTTGGAAACTGAAATTCCACTTCGTGCATGAACTGGAAGGTTATACACCCTCATCCATATGGGGACGGCTAAGATATCACGCTCCAATTGTATACTTTTATGCCATTTCTTCACGATGGTGGCTCTACCTTGGAATGTATAAAATCGGGATAGAACTTGTAATAGCTCATCCTCAGACGAAAAACGGACCTGGAAAAACCCATCTTTCATCGACACTACCACAACATCCTTATTCCATCTTTTCTGAACATATGATTTGAAGTAGGGGAAGTAAGGCTTACTTCCTAAGACGTAACATACCACATAATTTGCCCAGTACTGTAACTCTTCAGTGATATCTTCATCTTTAATAACCACACACTCCTTATTCTGATTCTCACTATAATAAGTTAATGGCGTAAAGCCATTAGTCGTAGAAATCTGGAGTAAAGAACTCCATGAAGGGCGGCGTGATGGGGAAGAAGGAACATGTACACTACCTACGA